CTTTACTCTTAACTTTTACCGTTGCAATCCCCTTTCTATTTCATATTTTTTCTTTTTTAAAAATAAATTTGACTTTTTTTTCTTTAGAATAATCCAGTTATTTTAGAAAAAAAAATACAAAAAACACAAATTATGAATCAAATTATTCTTAATCACAATTGGTAATGCAAATAATAAGAGTTATTTTTTTAGAATAATCAAGTCTCTCTTTTTTTTTTTTTTGCTTGTAATGTTTTAATTAAATCTAAGAAATAATAAAAGCATTAAACATCAACTATAAAAAGTAATAAAAAAATACAAATATACAAATTAAACATCATCTTCTAAGAATTTGACTAATATATTATCCTAATAACTAGTACCTTAAATACATCCAAATCAAAATTCACAACCTTTAAATTTCACAAACAATATGCATCCAAGAAGGCACACCGAAAGGCATGAAAAGTTTGAAGAAAAATCTGCTTTAGGTCATCCATCTCTACTCATGAAAGTTTGCTCTTTATTGGTTAGATCATGAAATTTAAACAGGGAAAATGTATATAACAAATGCTTAATGAGAAAAACTTATAAAAACAGTATAAAAATTTAACTTTATATATATATATATACACACACAGAGAGAAAGAAAGAGGAAGGAAAACAAAAGAGGATGGCCATCAATTAACCCAAGGGGGATGGCTTACCACAAATTAAAACAGGATGGTTTTGAAAACAAACGAACAAGAGAGGAGGCTGCGTGCGGCTGTTTTCGATACAATTAAAAGATGAAATAGAAATAGGGTTGCAGCGATAAGGGTTAAGAGAAGTAAAAAGAAAGGGATAGTTTTGGAAAGAGAAAAATATTATTCATAGAATCATAGATAAATATGTTAGTTGATAGTTTTAGATGTAGTATTACCAAAATTGAGTCTGATAATAATCCCACCCTGCAAATGCTTACTGTCTTTTCTTGCATGTTTTAATTTGTATGTTGATGTTGTTTATTTTTTCCATGTAAAAATTATTAAAGTAATCTTTTATTAAATAAGGTTTTGAACTGTATGTATCTTAGGCATATGTATAAAATTTTTTTTGTGTAGATCTGAATAAGTTATATAAAAAGAGATAGCCCTCTTTTCTTCAAATTCTTCTTCGTCCAACTCAAAATTCAAACTTAAATTTTTAATTTAAAATTTCAAGTTTTAAATCATTGAGATTAGGCATATGTATAAGAATAATTAAATCAATAATACTATAATTATAATGTCATATAAAATTATAATTATAATATAATATTAAATAAATAAATATTTATAATATTACAAATAAATTTTAAATAAAAAATTAATTATATAATAATATATTATATTATAAATTTATAACATCACTTAATATTATAATTGCACAATTTTCTATAAATCGGATTTATAATGGTCGGCGTCCAATGAGAGAAGTTTCAAAATGATACGGTGTCCTCTGAGCCAAAAGGCGAGGGTCATTGAAGTAAAACGACATCGAGAGACTGATGAAATGTGGCTTATTACAAGTGAGCACCAATCCCACTTCAGCTCTAAGTTTTCCCACCTCACACTCACAACTGGGAAAATGTTATCGCGCGTTTTAACGCGGATTTCGATTTATAATCTGTGCAGTCGGTCGATTCCTGTAAATGTGTCTTCTTTAACTTGCTTATATATAAGTATCGAATCGAATAATCCAAGTCATCAAAAAATTAAGAGGCAGAGCGAAGCTACAGAGTACACAGGGATATGGAGGGAGCTACTCGGCGGATGGAGGCGGCGGCGGCACGGATGAGGGCAGAAACTATGCGCATGAGAGAGGAACTGGAGGAAAAGAAAGCTGCTGCTGAGGAGAAGAATAATGAGCTGGAAGAGCTGGAACTGGAGAAGATGAAACTCCTTGCTGAATTGCAGCTTCTGCAAGAAGTAGAGAGGGTCCTCATGGTGATTCTGTTCCCGCCCAACTAATAAAACCACTGGATCGAATTCATATGTGTTTTTCATGTTTGGTTCAACCATCTCGTTGTTTGCTACTTTTGTATTTACTCTCTTCTTATCTCATTCGTTAGGAAGTAAATCATGTAACAGTAGTCGTTGATCTATTGAACCAACCAGGGCAACCTTTGCAGTTCTATCCAAAGAAAAACAGGGCAACCTTAACCTAAGATTTGATTGTGTTTACAAGTTCTGTTATGCCATAATCAATATTTGCTTTTTTGAATGTGTTTTTCTAACTTGTGCAGCACTGATCAAGTCTCATTAATTAAAATTTTAAAAAATCTTAAAATTTGAAAGAAACCCAACAGTAATCACCGCTCAGGTGCTATCTTCTCCATTCCCCCACTCTTCTTCCCTTTCCCCTCACTGCAACTTGACCGCAAATTAAAATAATTTTTCCATGTTTAAACCTTAAATTCTCGTGTGAACTAAATAAGAGAGAAGGAAATGGTGAATGTTAATGCGTAATTATATCTTCCCCTTTATAGGAGTTCAACCACAAAGTTCTTTAATCCTACTAGCTGCTTCCAATCTCTCCCAGAAACAGAAATCAATCTCTTAATCTCACCATCTGATCGGAATTTTACTTCTTTCACCGATGGTTTGAGTAATTGCGTTAGTTTCTTATCGCGTGGGGCTCGTGAACTGTCCCTACTTTGGCCTTCGCCGCCGCAGTCTCCGCCCAATAATTTCTTATCCAGGGCGGTACAATTTTTCCTGAAGTGAATCTTGTTAAGTTGAACATTTTTAGGGTTTGTGCGAGTTGCAGAGAGAAGAAAAGGGTAAACAGAAAGAAGAAAGTGAGTGGTAGACGAGAGTAACAGTTGAGATTTTTCATTTATCTAAATTTTAGGGAAAAAAAAAATAAACAATCGCTATTTTAATCGTTGAAGAAAGGAAAGAATTTACATCAACACTTGCTGGTTTGAGAGAGGAATTTGGCTTTTTTTAAAGTAAAAAAATTTTGAATTTATGTTTTATAAATAAAAAAAATAAGTATTAAAAGAGTTTTTTTTTATATAAAATAAGATTTAGTTAGACTTTAAATTAATTAAAATTTAATATAATTTTTAAATACAAAAATTAATAAAAAAAAAGAATTTACTCCTTAAAACTTAAAAATATTCTAAAAAAATAATATATTCACACTTGGACTTCATAAATTTATTGTTAAATGTATTTAATATTTTAATAATAATTAAAATTTTAAATAAGTTAAATACCCTTTTTGGTCCCTCTATTATAAGAAAAAGCTTTTTTTTGGTTCTTATATCGAAAAAATCTCTTTTTTTGTCTTTACTGTTCACAAATCCAACCTCTTTTTAGTCCTTCCGTTAAATTTTGGTTGATATGGCAGGTTAATTAACGGAAACACTCATTCCTCTTTTTTATTAAATTACGTGGAAAATCCATGTGGCAAAAATTGATGACATGTTAAATTTTTTACTTTTAATTACTGATATACCCTCATCTTCTTCCCCGGCTTCTCTTTCTTCCAGCCTTTTTTTTTTTTCTTTTTTTTCTTTTACCTCCAAGCAAACCCAAGAGCCTGGGTTGGCGAGGAACCTAGCTTGCGGGTTGGCGAGGAACCCAGCTCGCGAGTTCGCGAGGAACCCAGCTTGCGGGTTCGCGACGTCCGTGAAATCTCTAGGGCTTTCCTAGCAGAGATAGATCCAACTGCACTATGATCACACAAACACAACTACATATATACATATAGAACTCAGCAAAACCTAAAAGGCAGCCATAACGAACAAACAGGGCATTACATATCTAGAAAAAAACGCAAAACATCGAATTACATCAGGTAGAACTCTCTCTTGCTACAATTAAACGCCATTCGACCTCATCACACTTAGCTCAATACTCAATTCACGATTGTGCACTTGACTTCAAATTGTATATCAAAATTCCGAACAGCGTCAATAAAATTAATATATATGAAGAAATCGAAATGTACCATTCTGGAGATAAGGCCCGTATTTAGTAGCAGAAAGGTGCATCTTGATGTTGTCGAGGGTCTCGCACTGGCAGAGGTTGTTGTAATCGGCGGCAGTGAGGAGGCCGACCTGTAGCCCCTCACGATCGCCTCAAGATACCCACCATGGATGTTGAAGGTCATAGCTTTGAATCCGTACATTTTGATCGATTAACTCGAAATCGAGATCCGAACGAAGCTAGACTGAATTCCCAACAAATCAGGTTGAAAGGCGAATTAATCCAAGGATGTAGGGAAGGGAAGAAGATGAAGGTTCGTCGCGAACCCAAGACCTAGGTTCGTCGCGAACCCGCGAGCTAGGTTCCTCGCGAACCGAGGCTCCTGGGTGCGAACTCGCGAGCTAGGTTCCTCGCGAACCCAGGCTCCTGGGTGCGAACCCGCGAGCTGGGTTCCTCGCAAACCCAGATTCCTAGGTTTGCCTAGAGGTAAAAGGAGAAAAAGAAAAAAAAGAAAAGGCCGGAGGAAGGAGAGGATGGGGAAGAAAGAAGAGGGTAAATTAGTAATTAAAGAAAAAAATTTTACCATGTCATCAATTTTTGAGGGCAAATCAATAATTAAAAGTAAAAAATTTAACCATGTCATCATTTTTTGCTAGATGGATTTTTCACGTAATTTAATAAAAAAACAAAATGAGTTTTTCCCTTAATTAACCTGCTACGTTAATCAAAATTTAATGGAATAACTAAAAAGGGGCCGGATTTTTGAACAGTAAAGATCAAAAAGGAAATTTTTTCGGTATAAGGACCAAAAAAGGGTTTTTTCCTATAGTAGAGGGACCAAAAAAAATATTTAACTTTTAAAATATAATAATATTATATTATTTTTTTATCTTGCACCCTAACTTATACTTGCTAAAAAAAGTAAAATTATTTACTCAATGCAATATTTTGAATTTTTTATTTGATTTTGCAATATTTTGAAATTAATAAGTCTTAAGTTGCATCTCGATTTTTTTTTTTACTATTCGTTTATCGTTGCATTTTATCAAAATTAATTTATAATATTTTTTGAAAAATTATTAAATAATAATATAATTTTTTAATAATTAAAAAAATAATTTTATTTACAATTACAATATTTTATAGGAATTTGGAAGGCAACCTTGACACGAAACGCAAATGCTACTTATAGGTCTTACAGAGTCTGGGAATCAACGGCGTAGTCTTTCATCCATTTCCTTTAGGGGGGCCCACAGACATGACATGTGATGATGAAATACTGAAGTTTCTTTCCATTTTTCTTTCCACCCTATGGAATTAAGGAATTTTTCTTTTAAGAGTTCATTAATTGTAAAAACTAAATACAAAATACAGAACGGTTTTTTATAAAAATCTCAATATATTTAATTTTAATTACGATTTAAGTAGAATTTATATTATATTATATTTATTTATTTTTATTTTTAATATATTTAATTTAATTTTTTAATTTTTAAAATATAAATTTTAAATAAAAATTTAATAATTTATATAAATAATAATTAAAAAATTTTAATTAAATAAAAATACTTAATAAAAACTATATATAGAAACAAAAAATTTTAATTGCTCTTTATATAAATTTTTAAATTTTCATTCAAAATTTATATTCTAAAAGATAAAAAATCAAAATAAATTTATTAAAAATAAATAAAATATCTTAATATTTTTAATATTAACACGTTCTATTATTTTGCATCCTCTTAACTGTATTATTTATGTTCTATTTTATTTTATTTGTCATATTTTTTAAAAATAAAATTATTTATTGTTTTAAATTCCAATTTTAACCTTGTATTAAAGTCTTCTTTTCATTTTTATCCTTACCAATAATTACTCTTTTCTTAAAAAAATACATCTCTACTTTCTATCTACCTTCACTAATAGAAATTTTAATTAATAATGAATTTGTTTTTAAATATTTTTTTAAAATTATTTTATACTTATATAAAATAGAAATATGATGAGTAAAATAAGCTAAAAATATTTAGTATTTTTTTTTTGAATAATGTTACAAGGAATTAGATTCGAACCGTTGCTCGGAAAGAAAAGAGATGCATTTAAACGTGATTTGATGTCATTGAACCCGAAAACTTAAATGCTAGTATTTTTTACTAATTGTTGTAAAATGTAAATTTTAATTTTAATTTTATTAACTACTTAATTCCAATCATACACATGATATTATAGTATTGAAAATGAAACTTTTTTTTTTAATTTTTTCATACGAATTACTCCTTTTAATTAAAACAAAAATTAAAAGAACCCCTTTCTACGAAAACGTATACATTATAGTTTTCGAACTGTTTTGATGAATAAGTGATTCAATTATAAGATTTATTAGTTTTTTTAAATGTAATTATTGTCACGCAATATATTATTACGAACACACAAATAACATAATAGTGCCGTAGTGGGTTTGGGTTAAGCATACTTCACTCCCCTCAAACTACAAAAGTTGTGTTTTACTCTTTCTTCTTCTTCCTTCTGTTTTTTTTTTTTTTTTACTTCCACACAGCGGATACTTAACTTCTAGACATTATTTTATTATTTTTTAAGCAGAGGTGAGTCGTGCCATCAAAAATTAAAAGACAATTTGCCATGTCTCTGCATCAAGATTCAAGAAAAATTTTATTACTATTATTTCTATCTTAAGTGGGCAATCATTCCGGCCATAATTGAAAGAGAATTTGCCGCATGTCATTGGGATCAAAAGTGTTGTGCAAGGTAGAGGAGAAAGGGGAATTTGAAATCATGTGAATCTGACATATCACATCCAATTCCCAACTAGTATTTTGTCAAAGAACGTGTTTATTACTATTATTTTTGTTAAAATTACTTATGTTATTAAATTTTTTATTTTAATTTAATTATTAAGAATAGTTAATAATTAAAAAATAATTAATATTTATTATTTAATAAATTAAAATTAATTAATAAATATCATAATTAATTATTTTAAATTTTGTAATTTAATAAAATTACAAATAAAATTAATAATTTTAAAAGTAAAGGAGTGCTGAGCTTTTAAAAAAAAAAAAACCCCGGTATCCAAACCTCAACCCAAAAAATATAGAAAGGCAACGTGTCACACATTGAAAATAACGTAGACCATTACCTAATCATTATGGGCAATTTGCCCTTTTTGCCCAATACTTCGGAATTTTCCAATTTTATAAAAAATTGTCTCTCCGCGTGGAAACCTTATCAACGTGTCCCGTTTCTTCACCCACCAATCGAAACATAATTAGAGATTAAGGGTTTATATATATATATATATATTAACTCTTAATATTTAAAAATTATATTAAATTTTTAACGAATTTGAGATCAAGTTATATTGAATTTTGTAAAAATAAAATTCTTATAGTACTTATTTATTTATTCGTAAGATTTAAATTTAAAATATTATTTAAAAGAAACTAAAATCTTTATAGTCAAATAAATAAGTTGTTTGTAAGATTAAAGGAGTTTAGATAGACTAAGTTATCTCTTTTGTTGCATTATTCATGACAATTTTATATAATTATAATATCATATACTGTCCTTTTTTTT